ATGGTATTTCATCTGCACGTGTGCAAGAGAAGAGAGGTCTCTGGTGTCTCTTTCTCTTACAAGGACACCTTTCCTATCCGATTAGGGCCCCATCCTGATAACCTCATTTATTTTTAATCACCTCCTTGAAGGCCCTATCTCCATAGTCGCATTAGGCGTTAAGGCTTCAACTTATGATTTGGGAGTGGGGCCCACAGTTCAGCCCCTAACAGTGGGTCACTTACAGCTGGAGTGGGCTTGGGCAGGGGACTGGTCTTTTCCACTTCCTGTGGCAAAAGAGAAGGTCCTTGCTGTCCTACCTGAAGGGAAGTCCAACCTTCCTTTAACTGCAGATCTCCTGTGTTTGGGACCGTTCCATGGATCAGCACAGATTCTGTCATGTGGGCAGATGTGATGTGCGCCTGGCAGTAGTGGTCTGGGAGCTCCCGAGTATACCTTGCTAAATGTTGTGGGTGTGTGTGTTTGCCTTTTTGAAAAGGCGGCCCATGATATTTTCAGATTCCCAAAGGATTCATGAGCAAAAATGAGCAAGGAAACAATAGTAAGAGTGTAAACAAAGGATGGAACTTTGAGGAAGTCAGACATTAGTCTCAAAGGACACCACTGACCAGGAGAAAGCAGGCTGACAGCTGGCAGCCGTCTCTCCCAGCCAGACCGTGGCATTCTCTGCTGGCTGTAAACAGGCTCATGGAACAGAACACAACTCTGCCATATGAAGATCATTCTGAAATCATATCTGGACACAGCCATGAAGATTTCTCTGAGAACCACAAAAATGAAAACACTCCCCTCTCCCGGCCAACAAGAGTGTCTGCAGCTCCTTGCAGATGCCATCTGCCTCTGTCCCTCTCTCCTCCTGGAAAAAAATTTATTAAGATAACTCCACTAAAAAGTTGCCTGAGTTTCTTGACAGCATCCTATTAGGCATAGACACTCATTCCTTCAATGTTCTCCCAGATCACCCAGCACAAGGCCACATCCCATAAAAATCCCTCCTGACAGCCTGTGACTGAGAAGCCCTATGGCTCACCATTATATGTGACCCTGTTTGTAATAAGTATGCCCCCATACACACACAAAAAAAAGAAAAGAAAAATCATCAACTGGAAGGACTGTAGGGGTATTCCTTGTAGCCTCCGCCTGGAGGGCACTGATGCTTGCCATTTGCTGCCTCTGTCCCACCTGCAGCATCCCTGCAGGAAAGAGGATGGAGCTCAAAATCAAATTTGATAGTGTGAGATTTGTGGCTGAGCTAGAATATGTGGACTGTTTAAGTCCAGAGTCATGAGCCCAAACCAAGCCTTCTCATTGCACATCTCAGGCTATGCTTTCCACACACTGCCCCCCCACCCCCCAGACACTGCCCCACAAAATAAGAGGAATACTGCTCAGTCCTCCCAGAGGCAATGAAGGCTCTGTCTTAAGCAGACTGGGGCAGTGAGCTGCATGCCCTGCACTCTGAGCGTGGGCCAGAAGAGGGCATACCACAGCGCAGCCAAGGCCTGGCTCACAGACTGTGAAACAAGACTGAAGGAGATAGAACTTGGCCAAGTCACACAGCTGGGAAGTGGCAGAGCTGGGGTTCCATCCCAGGCAAGAGGAAAGAGGGCACAGGGGGGCAGGCAGTCCTCCTGCAGGTCAGAGGGCAGAGTGTCCGCAGCCTCTTGGGTGACGTGTGTGTCTGATGGAAGTCCCAGAATGGAGGCAGTGCTAGGAAGGGCCTGGGGTCCAGAGCAAATGGGCACAGTGGCTTCATCTGAGGCAGAGCATGGAGGGGTATATCATGATGGGAGTGGCCTGCTGGAGGCTGTGGAGGGCAGGAAAGGGCTCATACCTGGGCAGCACCCAGAGTAGTGGCTCAGTTGTAGACTGGCTGCCCACCTAGATGCCTACCTCTTACCACAGTTCCAGGTAATGTCAGGGTCTAGAGGGCAGCTTCCTGACCTCTGAACTTAGTGTTAATAAAACAAGCACTGTGACCAAAGTCAACACTTCCAGCCTGTCCTGGAGTCAGCTACCTCATCTGCCCCTGCCACTGTGGGGCAGGCACAAGGGGAAGGTCTGGCTGCTGAAGAGTAGGAGAGATGAACTATGTGCCTGAAGTAATTTTCCAGACCCTGGATCTCCAGGTCTACATAATTTGCTTTCATCATGTGACTGTGTACTATCCTGAATGTTTTCAGAGGCATGGGTCAGTAGGAAGAAAGGAAACCAGGACCTTCACAGCCAAGGACAGTCCAATAGGAAGGGACCAGAAGGGAATCTCACCCACATTCCTCCTGGTATGTGGAGGCCCCTGCAACACTTCTGCCATCTCCTGTGATGAGCTTCCTCACCACCCCAAGTTAACATGACATTTTATGATAGCTCTATTGGAGATGTTGTTCAGAAATTAATAAATGGTGTTTAAGTTATTGTTCCATCCCTTCTAGATTGTCCCTCTTCACCACTGCACATGGTCCAAGCCATTTACCCACATTTAAAACCCCCACTAAATTTTCTTTGGCTTTGTTTCCGATTCAGTTGAGTGGTACCCAGATATTCAAGTCAGAAACTTGGGTGCCCATAAAAATTCCTCCTTCTTGCTTACTATTTGACATTCAACAATTCCCAAGCTCTATCAATTACACCTGGAAGATGTTTCTCAAATGTATCCAATTTCTTAATCCAGCTGCCATTACCCTAAGCCCGGCAGGAATCATCTGCTGCCTGAGTGATGATGTGTACGCCCTCTCAGGTCTCTTTCTCTTCCAGTCCTGTACCGCTCCAGTCCTTTTCTACACCGTAGTCAAGCAAAGCTTTGAAAAATTCAATTCTGATCATGTCCCCTCTATTGTAATTGCTCTAATGAACCTTGGGAGGAGGTCCAAAGCCTTTAGTACAATTTCAAATCCTGCTGTCCACTGGCTCATGCCTCAGTTCTCACCAATCAGACCTCACACTGTAAACCCAGTCAGACTAAAGAGTTTTATCCCTGGAAACCCAGTCTACTTTCTCAGTTTCAAGCCATTGCGTGGCTAGTCATATTTGGATACTTGGACCAAGTCCTGAAGGAAGCAGGGGTCGAGCCTTTGGAACATCCACAACTTTAAGACTCCTTTGGAAACATTTTCATTTGAAATGATTTTAGTCTCATGTATAAATCATAAAAATAATAAAGAAAGGTCTCCTGTACCCTTCATCCTTCATTCACCAATAATCAGATCTATCATACCAAAGTACAAATACCAAAACCAGGAAGCTGATGTTGGAACAATACGACAATAAGATACAGATCTTCCTTTGGATTTAATCATTTATCTGCATATTTGTCCTGGTGTATAGTTCTATGAAATCTTACAACAATCTTACATTTATATTTACGTAACTACCACAATAAAAGTATAGAACTTTCCATCACCCCCAATGGAATTTTCCCATGCTACACCTTTATAATCACCCTCTCTCCAGCCCTGATCCCTGCCAACTACTGTTCTCCTATTGTAATTTTGTCATTTCAAGAATATATAAAAAGAATCATACAGTTTATAAACTTTTGAGGTTATATTTCTTTTATTTAACATAATGCCTTTGAGACTCATCCAAGTTATTATGTAAATCAATAGTCAGTTCCTTTTTGGACTAGCAGTTGCCAAGGGTGAGGGGTGGGGAAGGGTGGGTGGGGAGGGAGGGAGAAGGACACTGAGGGGTATTATGATTGGCACACACGGTGAGGGGGGATCATGGGGAAGACAGTGTAGCACAGAGAAGGCAAATAGTGACTTTGTGGCATCTTACTATATTGTTGGGCAGAGACTGCAATAAGGTACGGGGGGGGGACAAAATAACATGGGTGAATGCAGTAACCACATTGTTTTTTCATGTGAAACCTTCATAAGAGTGTATATCAATAATAGCTTAATACAAAAAATAAAGTAAAAAAAATAGTCAGTTCCTTTGTCTTCTGGGAGTTTTCCTTTGTATGGATGTACCACAGGTTATTTACCCATTCACTTGTGGGAAGACATTTGGCTATAAAAATGAAGCTTCCAAAATTTGGTATATACATATAATATAATATTATTTAGTCTTAAAAAGAGGAAATTCTGATATATGCCACAACATGAATCTTGAAGGCATTATGCTGAGTAAAACAAGTCAGTCGCCAAAAACCAAACCCTGTATGGTCCCCCTTATATTAGGTATGTAGAGTCGTCAGATTCATAGAGACAAAAGGTAGAATAGTGTTACCAAGGGCTGGGGCTGGGGCTGGGGTAGGGCAGGACATGGGGAGCTATTATTTAATGGGTATAGAGTTTCAATTCAGGATGGTGAAAAAGTTCTAGAGATGGATAGTGGTGGCTGTTCTACAATGTGAATGCTTTTAATGCTCTCAAATTATAAACTTAATTATGGTCAAAATGGTTGTATTATGTATATTTTAGCACAACAAAAAATACAAAAGTAAATTAAATGGCTAGAATATATTAACATGTAGTGTTAAGTAATATAAAATCAAACAAACCAAGCTAAAAGGATAGAGAGTGGCTGGGTGGGACTGTGTTTTAAAAAGAGACCAAGACAGGTTTCTCTAATATAAGGATATTTGAGTGAAAGAGAAAGATCTGACTGGTAGACACTGGAGAAGATGTCCAGGCTGGGAGAGTATTGAGTGTAGAACCTGAGGCAGGAGTGGTCTTGGTGTGTTAAGGGCTGCGGGGAGCCTGCTGTGCCTTCATGGATGAGTACATGTGCACATGTGCACATTTGTGTGTATGGTTGATGTGCGTAAGCATTTGTGGATATCTTTATATTTCTTGGTTGGAAACAAGGATCTTGACATGACCAACAACAAAAGCCTGCTTATGGGGGCTCAGGAATGACAACTGCCAAAATGATGGCAACTGAAAGACAGAATGTGCAGTATAAAAGCAGACAGCTGTTGCGCACTGTGTCAGAGGCCCCGGGAAATGCTCCCAAGAAGAGTTTAGTGCACTCCTAAGAGAAGTTGTTTATTAATCTGGGGTTGGAGGCCAGGCCTGTACTGTGACTCTTCATAAGGCTGGCAGGACCATGTGTTGCAGAGTCTGGCCTCCTCCCTCACCCTGAGGCAGCTGCCAGAACCCGAGGCTGGAGGGCCAGATTCCCTGTCTCTGCAGAAGCCTCAGTAAGTCCCCTCTGGTGAGTGGATCTGGGGTCTTGGGTCATATGTCTAGGGACTTGACCTTGGAGTCCTAGAGGAGGCTCTCTGGGCCTGCAAGGGGCATGGGCAGATGGCAGACAGAAGCTATGCTGAAGGTTTATCTTTCTCGGCTTATGCTGGGGCATCTGTGACTTTCCTGGGCTCACCTGACCATGTGCAAATAAGATTGTACCTTCATTTGCAAAGAGAGCCATGAAGGATTAGACCCATCAGACTGGGAAGCTGAGGTTTCTTCTTGGGGGAGGGACAGATTTCAAATAGGATATGAAAGACAGATGAAATACTAAGATAGAGAAATGGGAAGGGGATTCAAGGAAGGTGGTCTACCCGCTAGTGGTTTTGACTCACAGAACACTGAGAATTCCTGCTGCAACCTAGAGAGAGAAAACTACCTTCAAGGCCAAGGTAGTGAGAAATCTCCAGAGAAAATGTTCCCTCTAGCAAGTCTCTATGGCAGTGGTAAATAAAACATCAAGAGGAATTAAACTCAAATTAATTTGGGGCTGGGTTGGTGACCACTAGTGACCCCCCTGTGTGGAGCACCAGCCTGCAGCTCAGCGCCTGGTGCCTCACAAACGCTGCTTCGCTGGCACTGGGGGAGAATGGGCTGCACGGCCGAGAGGATGAGGTGCAAGCTGCAGGGGCCCCAAGGGCAGAGGCTGGGGGAGAGCTCTCAATGAAATAATCTTCCTTGACTTTCCTCACACCAAGGTAAGGACCATGTCCCTGTTTCCACTGCTCCCTGTCCTTCTCTTGAGTATGCTGGCAGCATCCTTCTCAGAAACAGAAACCTGTGAGGGTTTCCAGAAGACCTGCCCTGGGACAGCCTGCGGTTGTCCAGGAGCCAATGGCTTCCCGGGGAAAGACGGGCGCGATGGCACCAAGGGAGAAAAGGGAGAGCCAGGTACCTTGGGCTGTTCCAGCTCTGACTTTTACCTTCTGGAGGAAACTGTCTGGAGATGTGAGGAGGGTAATATTCTATTTATGTAGGTTGTGTTTCTCTCACCTGCATATTATAACTCAAAACAGAGATGTAGCTTTGATTCTCTGGTAGCCCAGCTTCCACACAGGAGTTGGGGGTGGTCCTCTGTAGGTGTCCCATGTGATATGGGGAGGTTTTCTTCTTGGGACTGGAAGCAGTGATGAAAGTCAGCTCTGGGTCAATGTTTCTTTCTTCTGGAATCAAACTCTCATAGAAACAGAGCAAGAACAGAGATACTGAGTCCTGTTTCCCTTGTCCTATAGGCCAAGGGCTCAGAGGTTTACAGGGCCCTCCTGGGAAGCTGGGCCCTCAAGGAATCCAAGGGTCCCCTGGGTTACCAGGAGCAGTGGGCCAAAAAGGGGATCCTGGAGATTGTCCAGGTAAGGAGCTTACCTCAGCAAGGTCTGGGCTGAAGGACACCTAGGGGAGTGGGACTTTAACTTCCAGGTGGGAGGTGCCTCTTCTCCTGGTGCCTCATGGGAAGATGTCCAACTCTGCTTCCTGACCCAGAGCCCTCTCTAGGTTTCTTAGAGCCTCAGGGGATTCCTACCAGCACCCTCGTGCAGACTTACAAACCCTTCAGGGCCATTCCCTCACTAGGCTCTCTCTGGAGGAGCTAGGCCCTGGGCCTCCTTCAGTCTAATGTCAGGCTCTGGTTCAAAAGGGAGAAACCAGGCCATTGAAGTATTGGGCCTATTATGTCAGTCTATTTTCACAACAGCAGTATAGACAAGGCATGTCAACTATCTTTTACTTCATAAGACACAAACAATCAGAAAAACAGAGCCACAGCTTTAAGCCCACAGTTCTGGGAATCAGCAGATTCTGGGAATCTGCTGGTCTCACTCATGGATCTGTCGTCAGCTGATGGCCTAAGGTGCCATGGACATGACTGGATATTGTTTGTCTGTCAGCTGAGTGATGAAAGCAAATGAGACACAGGGCTCTCATCACCAAACAGGCTGCCTGGCCTTGTTCACAAAGAGGTGATTACAGGATTCCCAAGAGGAGGAAGAGTAGAAGCATTAAGGCCTCCTGAAGGCTTAGAACATGTACATTATTGTTTCTGCCACATTCTAATGGTCAAAACAAGTCACAAAGCCAGTCCTGATTCAAGGAGTGGGGAAAGAGACTCATTTCCTAATGAGAAAGTCTGTGCCATATTAAGGCCATGTTTGCCATCTATTAAACATGGCTTGCCTCATTCCCTGCCCCCTTGAATAATGAGCAGCTCACAAAAATCTTGGATTAAAAATAGAACAAGCATGGTGAAAAACAAAACCAAAATTAAAAAAACAACAGAAACAAAACTTCCCCAAAGACAAAACTCTGTATCTTTTTAGTCAACATTCACCAGCTTATAATAATTCCCCCAAAGATTTATCATTTCTGTGATAGAACTATTTATTTTTGGGGAAAAAAAACAATTAGTGAAGAGCTTGGCATATGGAGTGCTATCATGCCAGGTCAGCAGGGAGCATATGTGTGTGCATGTGAGAGTGAGTAAGTATGTATACATAAAGTGACTTCATACAACAGATGAAGACTAGATGGAAGCAGACAGAATTTTCCTTCTTTTTGCTTCATTTTCCTCCAATATCAAAATGTAATTTTTTTTGGTTTAGAAAAGATACCCCTTGTAGTTCTGAGATGCCCTTTTCAACAATGCTTTCACTTTATCTTAATTTTCTAGTTTGTGAGAGCCGCCTGGATAGTTCAGAAAGAAGAGCTTTGCAAGAAGAATTGGACCGTATCAAAAAGTGTGAGCCTCCTTTCTTACTCTTCAGGTAGCTTGAAGTTTGGCAACATGGAAGGTAACAAGTATTTATTAAATGCATATAATATTTTAGGACCTGGATAGGTGTTTCACATATTCTGATCACATGAAATCCTCACAGCACCTTTTTTGCTAGAAATAGAGGCAGAAAGGAGTTATGTAACTTGCTCAAACACACAGAGCTAAGTGGTAGAAGTATTTTCTAAACTGAAGTCAATCTGACTCTGGAGTCCTTGACCCAGTACTTTTTACTCTCTGGTCACTGAAAATGGGACCTATGCCCCTTTTTATTGATGGCATTGAGACCTGGCAATGGGCTTGAGCTATTCCTTCTGTGCCTTCCTAGCTGGGGCAAATATTCTCAGACATTTTTAATTATTCTTAAGATAATACTGAGGTAGAATTCAGTTTTTTAATTGAATGTGCTCTAAAACTCTGATTCAAAAAGACAAAGTCCTCTGATAGAGTATGTCTCTTCAGATTTGGGTTGCCAGTTTTAACTGGGAAATAAGACAGGCTGCCAAGTCAAATTTGAATTTTAGGTAAACAATAACTTTTTTTTTTAGTACACATGTCCAAAATTTCATGGGAGATTCCTATACTAAAAAAAAAAAATGAGTTGTTTACCTGAGATTCAAATTTAACTAGGCACACTGTATTTTATGTGGCAACTCTCTTCTAGACACCTTTACCCAGAAAACTACCTTGAGGTAGGCTTAAATACAAGCCAGTGTCACCCACAGTTTTTCACTTTAGGGCTGACCTTCTCAATGGGCAAGAAAGTTGGGAAGAAGTTCTTCTTGACCAATGGTGAAACGATGAGCTTCGACAGAGTAAAGACTCTGTGTGCCCAGTTCCAGGCCTCTGTGGCCACCCCCATGAATGCTGAGGAAAACAAGGCCATCCAGAGAATAGCCAGTAGTAGACATGTCTTCCTGGGCATCACAGATGAGGAGACTGAAGGTCATTTTGTGGACCTGTCAGGAAGGGGTCTGACCTACAAAAACTGGAAAGCTGGTGAGCCCAACGATGGTGCCAATGGGGAGGACTGTGTGATGCTCCTAGAGGATGGCATGTGGAATGACATCTCCTGCTCCTCCTCCTTCTTGGCCGTCTGCGAGTTCGAGTTTGCTGGCTGACGGAGCCCGTCCGTCACCCTTCTCACAGACCCACAGTTGGCATTGAAAGATAAATCTGTATCAATTTCCCACACCCAGTATTGAGTTGCCGCTCTGTGGGGAATGAGAAAATGAGAAGAATGGACTGAATGGTGAGATGTGAAAGTGAGACGAGGGAAGAGGCAGACCACGCTGCCACAAGAGTTCCTGGTTCAGACACAATCACTAAGAGTCACTAACCACCGCAACAGTAACAACAAAATAATAATAGCAGTAGAGCAGGAGCAACACTACTATTATTATCTTTTAATGTATGCAATGAGTCGACCCTACGTTATACATACTACATTCATTACCTAATTTAAATAGGCTCTACACTTTTGTTTGAATAGTGTCAACTTGCTAAGGTATAAAAATAAGGTTAATTTATTTTTCCATGTAACTATGAACACCAGGGTTTTCCTTTCTCTTTGGGCAGATGGTTCCTCTAACGACATTCCCCAGCCTAATTCCATAGCTTTTCTGCCAGTCTCAGGTACTAAGAGGATCTGTTGTGTTGTTTTTTTCTCTCTGCACTCTATTTTATTTTCTTTTTAATGAGGCACTAAACTATGTAAAGAACATAAATCTCAAGCAAACAAAATTGATGAAATCTCACATGTGTATACACCCATGTAACCACCTTCTACATCAAGATACAGGACATTTCCAGTATTCTAGAAACCCCTTCCTAACCCCTTCTAATTGATTTTCCTAAAGGTAAATACCATTTGGACTTCTATTACCATATCTTAATTTTGTCTGTTAATGAACTTCATATAGATAGAGTCATATTATATACACTGTTTTATGTCTTGCTTTTATTCATTAAAATTTAAATCTGTGAGATTCATTCATGGTGTTATATGTAGTAGCTGATTTTTCATTTTTATTGACACATAGGGTTCCTCATATGAATGTACCTCAGTTTATCCATTTGATTGTTTTATACACTTGGACTGCCTACAATTTGTTGATCATTAAGAAAAACTCATGAACATTTCTGTACTGGTATTTTGGTAGGCATGTATGCTAATTTATCTTGGCTATCTACCCAGGAGTAGAACTGGTGGGTTATGGGATAAACATGTTTAGCTTTAGTAGACACTGACAGTTTTCCAAAGTGATCATATGAATTTACTCTCCCACCAGCTATGTGTAAAGTCTTGTTCTACAAACTTGTAAAGAATCAATATTTTTAGTCCTTCTAATTTTGGCCATTCCTGTGGGTGTTACGGGATTATCTCACCATGGCTTAAATCTGTATTTCCCTGACATAAAACAACACTGAACATTTTTTTATATGCTTGTTGGCTACTTGGATATCTCCAGTTGTGAAGCACCTATTCAAGTCTTTTGCATTTTGTTTAAATTAAGTAGCCAATATCTTTCTTACTGATTTGTAAGAGTTATTTTTATAATCTGGATATAAATCCTTTTGCTTATAGCTACACATACATTTTTCTAGTTGGTGACCTGTTTCCAGTGTTGACTTTTGATGAACAGAAGTTGTAACTTTTTTTTTTTTTGAGAGGGTATCTCTCATATTTATAGATCAAATGGTTGTTAACAACAATAAAATTCTGTATAGGGGAGTCAATGCTCAATGCACAATCATTAATCCACACCCAGCCTAATTCTCGTCAGTCTCCAATCTTCTGAAGCATAATGAACAAGTTCTTACATGGTGAACAAATTCTTACATGGTGAATGAATTCTTACATAGTGAATAAGTTCTTACATGGTGAACAGTACAAGGGCAGTCATCACAAAAACTTTCGGTTTTGATCACTCATTAGGAACTGTAAACAATCAGGTCAAATATGAATATTCATTTGATTTTTATACTTGATTTATATGTTGATCCCACATTTCTCCCTTTATTATTATTA